ACTCGACGAGAATCTGGATGAAATCCAGATCTGGATTCGTCTGTAAACAAAACTGTGGCCCAATCATTTGCATCCCAGTTTTGATGTTCTTGACACCACTCTAATCTTCTACCGCGATTGCCTCTCGACAAAGGTGGACATCTAAGTGGCCTTCTGTTGCGGAGATCTGCTTCATGCAGTCGATTTCTGACAGTATCACGACCAATGGTTACCTGGTGCGTCTGCTGCAACACGTTAACCAACTCAGGTACTGTGATTGTCGGTTGTCTTCTTGCGGTTAAGACCAAAAATCGGTCTTGAACTGCAGTTGTAGCGCGTCCTCGCCCTGGATGTTGTTCGGCTGGACTGCCAGTTTCACGGAAACGCCGCCACAATCGACTGATAACACTTTGGGAGACCCCCAAACGAAGAGCTACATCATTTTGTCGCATGCCACCTTGAAGAAGCCCTACAGCTCTATTCATCTCAGCCAATGGTAAGTGATGGCGTTCCATGTTAAAGCACAATATTTCCAGTTTAATTGCTGATCAAGAACTGCATAGAATGTACAAACTCGACACTTTCAGATTATTCATTTTAGCTGAAAACCTACAGTTTGTAAAAAACTTGATAAAAGATTAGTTACCGTTTTTGCAGGCTTTGCATAGAAATCTACAGGGTGGTCGAGTGTACCAATTTAATCGAAATTAAACGACCTCGTGCATTTATTTTTATGATATTTAGTATGTTATAAAAATATCCCTAGACTTTTCCGATGTGTGTAGTTTCCATAATTGACCTTTCTAGGGTATTTCCACATTCCACGATCTGAAAAATATGAAAATCTAAGTTACCTACTGGTACTTTGAATTCACGCAGTAACTTATCGGGTAGACCTAAAAAGTTTGCTTTTTCTACGCCTGTAGTGCTTTATTAGATTTTCATATTATTTGAGATTATGGAAGGTGGAAATACCCAAAAAAAACTATGATGAATTGTGATTTCCTCTACAAAAAATGACTCGTTCAATTTCTATCGATATTGAAGATTTGCAAATTGATAGAAACTATATACCTAATTGAGTACATTTCACTAACAGTCGTCTGCGCATTGTTTTGAGTGAGAAGGAGACAGAAAAGTCCATATTTATATATACGAACGTCAAATTCATAATGACATTTGTTTATGTCTTATGGAACTGTGTATTGTTTGAGGTTGTTCCATGGTTTATGTGTTTAAAACACAGAACTAAAACTCTGGGTAATATATCTGTGGTTGAAAGGGTGGTAGACATATATAATCGCCGTATTTGCATCTTTTAAAATGCGTACATTAGCAAACTATCACATGGATTTATGACATTTCAAGTATCACTTCCTTTGGTGGTGTAATTTCTATGCATTGTCATTTAAACTGAAAGATGGTCTTTTGGACATCACTTCTTTTGTTTGTGAGTGTTAAGACGGTATGATTACGTTTGGTTTGTGCGTTTTTGGGCTTCGTCCTTGGACATACACCCAGCTTCAAGTAATATTTCTGAAGATGAAGAAGATAATGATGTTCCTGGAAACAGAATATTATGAGTATGTTATAGTTGTACGACTTCAAATGTAAAACAATGCGTTTTGCTTTACTGTAATGTGTGATAAGCTGCTGAACGTTATTTGATCCTGGAAATGACTTGTTCGCGTCGCTTATGCTCGTTCACCTCTGCAAATCTTTGTCGCAAAATCGAGATTGTCAGCCGGCCGTTATAACTAAACTAGATCTCGAATTCGCGAATCGGCCATTCGGGGTCTAGTTCTGCGTATCCTCCGGTATTGTATGCTGCGCACACACACACACATTCCCGCCGGCCGGCGGAGCTTTTCTGCTCTCGAGTAAGCAAAAAAAGGGTCCGTTACCGCTGCGGAATGTGAAAGGCAGTCGAGTTGTTGGCGGTTCCAGTTTTCGATCGCCACGACCGGCATTCCTCCGCAAGAGAATTGATTATCTCGAAAAGCAATTAAAGTTATCGCCGGCCCGATCGAGAGTGCAACAATCCGGGTCAGTTCTTTCGGGGGGCGTCCAATTTGGGGTAGGCCCGTTTCCGGCACGGGGCGCAAATAAATCGATGGGGTGCTAATGCACCTCTAGTTGAACATACAGATAACTGGCCGAAGGTTTTACAGCTGCGTTTGTCGGTATTTGCTCGGGGTCGTTGTCAATAATGGATGCTTATCTCGGAGAACGTCAACGATTATGATGAAAGAGTAGATAAATTCCCCAGCATCGTTTGCCCTGAAGCGAACTCGTTCTTGAATCATTCGGCTGTATCTTTCATCTTTATCGAAGCGAGAATGGTTATTGAAGAATTCGAGACGAATAACTGTACTTTCTTTCATGGCAAGTAGCATATTTTTTCGGGGAAACTGGTACCGCTCACAAAATTACCTGATCTAACCCCACTTGAATTCTATCCGAAGGTGTACCAGATTCATAATACATCCTAACAGTCCACTCGACTTTCCTTGCTAATGGTTTTAACTCCAATAAAAGTGTATGCAGAACATTTTGGGAGAATTTTCAACTACTTTGTTTCAACTGATGAAACTTTTTTTCATTTGATATTGTATTTTGTTTATATTCTTCCCGAAGAGTGTTTATAATTGATATATTCCAAAAGACTGCGCATCTTTACTTTAGTACTTATACAGTTTATATTAAAAAACTTTCAAAAACAGGTACTTTTCCTAATCATCAGAACTGCGGTACTCTTCTCGACGCGCGTTTCACCAACCAAGTTGTCGTCTTCAGGAGATGAAGGGAACGGGTATTTTTCGAATATAGTAGGTGAATTGATTAGGAAACGGATTAGATCGTGTTTTCAAAAAGTTGAATGAGAAAGTAGCCTTGTTCACTTCAACAAAGATTAGGTTACCCTAAAAACAATTTGTTAGAAAATGAAAAGCTGTGAGAACTTGAAAACATACAGCGTGACTCACGGTCGATGGTAGGTTAGACGTTTCTGGAAAACGCAAAGCATGACTTTTCTGAAAATTTCACCTCTCACATTTCCTTACCTGTTCTTTCGATCTAAAATATTCTCAGCATTGCGGCGTTGCCACTTCCATCAAAAGGTCCTAGCAACTTAAATTTTTTAAATGGAACACCCCGTATATTAATACATTTTTGGAATCGCTCTGGTATTTTAATACTTTTTTGTTAATAATGTCCTATAACTATCTCTATCTGTTTTCGAGATAAAAAATAAATTGTGCTAAATATAGTCCAAAACATAGCCCTAATTGAAATTAAGTACATCAGTACTCTCAATTCATGAAAAGTTGATATTCTGATGATAGTTTGGACAAACTCGAAATATTCAAATAACACCAAGAAATCGACTCCATATTATACAGGGCGTGCTAAAATTACTATTATTTCCATTGTGCATAAAAGTAGTCAAAAATTCATTTTTTCAAATGAAACCCCCTGTATATTACTCGGTAAATTGAAAAATGGTGAAAAATGCTTCAAGATAATATATCATGTCCCTATACCTAAATCGTCAAGGTTTCTCAATAAAGTCGCTTCTTCTAGAAACATTATTTTTTTTAGAATTTGGATTTAGGTAGCAGTGGAATTATCAAGCTTATAGCAGTTCGGTTACTTTTATAAGTAATTTACAAAAAGTTATCGACGGTGTTTCGAATCATCTTCCAAAATGAATGCAAATATCGATTATTCCAACCAAGTTCTTATGAAATTATTTATTATACACATGAACAAAGTGGATCAAATCATTGTCAGAACGTGTAAAAAATTCAACCAAATGTATCCTGAATCAACACCAATGAACGAGAGGAAGTTTGTAAGGTTACAAAATAATTTCCTTAACTATGGCTCAAAGTTTCCAGGGAACAACTGTACCAAAAATCAGTAATTTCTAAGTAAAAAGTAAGATTTTGTGGGCTAAAACATGTGAAAGTACAGACAATAACAGAAGAGGATGATTCAAAATAACAAAATTTTAAACAAAATATCACATTAGCAGTTCGGTTACTTATAAAAGTAACCGAACTGTTATAAGCTTGATAATTCAACTGCTACCTAAATCCAAATTCAAAAAAAAATGTTTCTAGAAGAAGCGACTTTATTGAGAAAACTTGACGATTTAGGTATAGGGACATGATATATCATCTTGAAGCATTTTTCATCATTTTTCAATTTATCGAGTAATATATAGGGGGTTTTATTTGAAAAAATGAACTTTCGACTACTTTTATGCACAATGGAAATAATAGTAATTTTAGCACGCCCTGTATGATATGGAGTCGACTTCTTGGTGTTATTTGAATATTTAGAGTTTGTCCAAACTATCATCAAAATATCAACTTTTCATGAATTGAGAGTACTGATGTACTTAATTTCAATTAGGGCTATGTTTTGGACCATAATTAGCAAAATTTATTTTTTATCTCGAAAACAGATAGAGATAGGCATAGGACATTATTAACAAAAAAGTATTAAAATACCAGAGCGATTCCAAAAATTTATTAATATACGGGGTGTTCCATTTAAAAAATATAATTGCTAGGATTTTTTGATAGAAGTGGCAACGCCGCGATGCTGAAAATATTTTAGATCGATAGAACAGGTAAGGAAATGTGAGAGGTGAAATTTTCAGAAAAGTCATGCTTTGCTAACCTACCATCGACCGTGAGTCACGCTGTATATGGGTCAGACTAAACGAGCCATCAAAATTCGCTTCAAAGAACACGAATCATATATCCGATTTCGAAGACCAGAAAAATCTAGTGTCTAGTAATGACCTTTCACGAAGAAATTTGCCGGAAATTTCTATCCTGTTTTACAGTTAGGAATTAGTTTTCTTCAACTCCTGAAGACGCCAATTTGATGGGTGAAACGAGCTCAGTTATGGTGATCGGGAAAAGTGCTTATTTTGAATTCATCCTACGCCAGAGGATGTTGGCCTTACTATAATTCCAAAGTCCATTCAACAATTTTTTTTGTTACAGAAGAAGAAATCGATGTCGTCTCGGTGGTGGACAAGATGCAGTTCCAGAACAAAGTATTCTCGCTGCCGAACAACCCGACCACCATAGACAGGCAGCACATCCAGCGAAGAATGGCCACCGCCATATCGAGAAGAAGCGCCGCGACGCAAGGCATCAAGACCATCCTACCGATGAGGAAGCCTGTGAGAAAACCCGTAGAAACGACGCCGCCGACCAAGAGGAGAGCCGCGGCCGAACCGCTGCCGAGAGGGGCCAAAAGGTCCAGACAGTACAGAACGACGACAGTCAACTCGACGCCCTACAAACGACGCGCTTACGGACACAGCAGCGACAGCGATCAGGAGCCTTCCGAAAAGCGGAACCTCCACAACAATATGGAGCGCCAAAGGAGGATCGATTTGCGCAACGCCTTCGAAGATCTGAGAGTCCTCGTGCCTGAGGTACGTTCACACTCGGTACAGTGAAAAGATAAACGAATCTAGTACCTCTTGAAGGTTTCAGTGTTACAAGTTCAATCTTTACTTTTGACTCTGGTGAATTTGGAATGCTGAATTGGGTTCATTTTTGAACTTACGCCTTATAACCTATTGAAAGTTCACTGAACAAATGTAGTCGCAAAGGAATCTGTCTTTTTTGTTCCAGTGAACATACTTTCACTCTTGTGTTATACAGTTTTGATGTTATATGCAGTGTACTGATCACTCCATCTGTTCGCTGGTGATCAAAACTTGATATGCCGAGTAATTTTACCATCGAATTTTGACTGGAAAGAAATGAAAATACAGTGTGTCCGTAAAGTATGGAACAAATTCATTTTTAGCTAAACAGGTCATTTTAAGAAATAATCCTGAAACACGTCGATTTTTGATGTTAATTTACCGTATTTTAAAATAATAATCTAATATACAGGGTGAATTACCTTCGAGTAATGACGTCATCGTCATTTTTTTTAAATGGAACACCCCCATTTTGTCTCAATTTTCGGATTACTCTAGCTGAGCTGATTCCAAAAATGTATCACATGTTGATTCCAATTGGTACAGGGTGGACAAAAATACAGTAGTTGTGTGTGTGCTAATAAAGTAACGCGTAACATTCT